TGAAGGCCTTGGAGATGGGTCCAGTATCACCAAGCACTTTCACTACTCCCCAAAGTACAAGGTGTTTTGGGGAAGAGAGGTGGTGTGCTGGGGCCCGAGGAGGACTGAGGAGGAGTTGTAAGAGAGCAGAGCCATGCTGTGCCAGTTCTCTGATACAAAGTACCCTGTGCAAGTGATTTCCATTAGTTCAGTGACCTATCTGAAGGCCTTGGAGATGGGTCCAGTATCACCAAGCACTTTCACTACTCCCCAAAGTACAAGGTGTTTTGGGGAAGAGAGGTGGTGTGCTGGGGCCCGAGGAGGACTGAGGAGGAGTTGTAAGAGAGCAGAGCCATGCTGTGCCAGTTCTCTGATACAAAGTACCCTGTGCAAGTGATTTCCATTAGTTCAGTGACCTATCTGCTCTAACATCTGCCAAGACTATCATCGGCTAACTATAATCAGATTCCTGGGGCTACCTCCTATCTGACAAGTGACCCTCAAGTCTCCAGAAAAAAAAACTTGCATATAAAATCTTGTATTCCTGCACTTCAAATGATGTTGTGGAAAGGGTTAGGCAAAGCCTGTCCAACATGATAGATCAGTCTCTGGCTCTTGAGGATTTCTAGAGGAGGATCATTCTAGAGGTGTGTGACATTGAGAATGCACTTCACTGGGTGTATAATACTCCAGTCAGATAGGAAGAACAATGCAGAGGATTACAACTTCCATGAAGACAACTAGGTCCCATTATAGGATTTATACTAAGAAGTACAGGCAGTCCCCGGGTTACATGGATCCGACTTACATCGGATCCCTACTTACAAACGGGGTGAGGCAACCCCGCACTAGCTGCTTTTCCCCCTAGCAGACCAGGGAGACGCGGAGCGGCTTCTCTCAGCAGACACCTCAGCTTGAGAATAAAGGACTGAGGGAAGTGAGGTGTGGTGGGAGAATAAAACTGAGCTCTGGAGAAATGTTTGGCTAGAGTTTCCCCTACAATATGTACCAGTTCCAACTTACATACAAATTCAACTTAAGAACAAACCTACAGTCCCTATCTTGTACATAACCTGGGGACTGCCTGTATACTCGTATTCATACTCGTGTGATTTTAATTAAGTTCTGATTTTGTTTGTTTCTTGCATATTAAGTCAAACAAGATATTTCAGAATGATATATTATAAAGGCAAGTTTGGAAAATACAGTAATTTCTACTACAGGTTGAACCTCTGAAACCTGGCTCTCTCTTGGCCAGCAGGACCATGGATGCTTCTGGGCCAGAGAGCCCGGTAGCCTAAGGGCCGGAGGGCCAGCTGTGGCCAATGGGGTTGGCAGCCTGGGGGGAGCATAGGACTGGAACTGGAGTTCTCTAGAAGCCTGCAGCAGCACAGGGCCAGAATCCCACCACAAGCCCATAATCATTGGGCGGAGCCAGAGCCCCCACAGTAGCTTCATGGGGCTGGGGCCCTATGGCAGCCCATGGCAAGGGGACCAGGGGTCTATTGCAGGAGCTGGATCCTGGGCTGCCTAGGAGAAGGCAGCAGCTGGAACTTCCTCTGATCCAGCAAATTTTCTCATTTGGGATTGGTCAGGTCCCGACAGCGCCAAACCAGGAAGGTCCAACCTGTAGTACCTAAACATAAACCTCTTTTTACTGCAGATATACATCCCTTTTCTTTTACATTTCTTAACAGATTGAACTTGGTCGCCTAACAATTTATTGTAACCCAAAATCTGCAGCTCAAGAGACCTGTTGTGAAATATCTGAGGTCATGGTAAGTTATTTTGCAAAAATGTAAATATAAAACTGAAAATGCATTAATCATCTTTTTAATGATAACATTTTCACCTTATTTTATTTAAAGAGCATAAACAAGAAGTGTGGTAACTTTAATAGGATACATTTTCAAGGCAATCTCTTGCTAGGTGAGTCATTGGAACGTGATAGCATTGGCAGAGCAGCACTTGGGTGAGGGGCGCTGTTTAAATGGAGAACTCTGAAGACTGCCATGCCCCTTCTTCTAGATACCATAATCCATACTGATTAATAGCTGAGGAATTCACAGGTACAGGGATTAGAATATAGGTTGTTCCCACTGAGCTAACGGAATGTGTGGTTTCAGAAGAGAGAGAGACTTTTATACTTTATTTTCACTTTTAATTATGATTCCATTATGTGTAGACAGTGGGGCTTGTGGAAGAGGCATTATAAACCTGTATAAGATGGAATGGTGGGGAGGGGAAGGAAACAGGACAGAACATTTGTTAACATATTTTCATTGCACTACTCTAAGGAAAATGGAAATAAAGAACATAATAAACAGCTGGATGTCCTGTGCCTGACACCTATTTTTATCTCTCATTCACTTTGCATTTTTTGGATATACTTATAGTCAAGCAAGGGTGCCATATTAATTTAATTTAGTGGTATTATTTTTCTCCTTTGCTTTGACAGATACAAGATATGTGAGCTTGAAGTCATTGGGATTACTCACATTTGCTTGAAGCTGAGCATGTGATTAAGTTCTTTGTTGAACTAGGTCCATATTTTCAAAATAGTTGTACCTGAGTTGTGCATGCAAACATGGGCACTAGCACACACTTACCTAAATGCAGATTTGAGAAGAAGAAGCTAAGAGGGAGGGAATTTTAGATGGGTAGGGCAGCTTGGATGCATGATTAGTCAGGCTTTCACCAGAATATACACATGGATTTGAGAGGGAAGAATGGGCTTCCCAAATCCTCAACGTCCAAAAAGGGAAACAAACCATTGGATGGAGGACCACTAGTTTATCTCAATTGTAAAGAGACAGGGAAAGGAGAGAAAAATTTGCCATGATTAGAATAACAGAATACAGTGTGTTTGAGCAAGGAATAGGGAGATGTGAGGTCAGAAATGTGATGTGAAGCAAGCTTTTGAAGAAAAATTTCAGTTTTCAATAACACTTTTATGTTCAAATACATTTCATCATTTTTTTCCTGGTGAGAGAAACTTCTTCCTCAATATACAAACTACTGGGCTGAGTATGATGGGTGGCATTTCTGTTAACTTCTTGTGCATGTAAGTGCAATGATTTTAAACTGGCTATACCACAACTACAAAATGTAGTAATGTACAGCTTCTGTTGGTGAGAGAGACAAGCTTTTGAATTACACAGCAGTCTTCTTCAGGTGCTTTTTCAGCTACCTTTCCATATTGAATTTATAGCATTCTTAAAATACAGTTCAATTACACTGATAAAAGAAGCTTTGAATACTTGCATATCTTATTCCAGAGCCAAATGACAAAGTGTCCTGTACTGATTATATAAAATGAATGGTGTAAACATGTTACTTTATTATAATCATAAACTTAGTTGCTTGAAATGTTACTATCATATGCAATTTTATATTTTCTGATTTTATAAGCATTTCTTAGCAATCATAAGGGCTAAAATTTCATTTTTTTAAAATAAAAGCTTATATTGTAAAGCAAAAATCTGAACCAAGAGAGATATTCTGGGTGAAATGGCAGTGACCCTGGTTATTTATTAGAATATGCCACTAGTATGCCTCTTTCTAGTCAGCTTTTAGTATATGTTACAAGTAGACTCAGCTGAAATTGTTTCCAGACATTTGAGCACTGGCTTCAGTTTTGGGGGTGTTCAGACTAGTAAACCCAGAAAGTCACATTATAAAAGTGACAAACCATGTTTGCCCATGAGTATGCCCTTCTGACTTGTAATCATTTTCCGGAGTAATAAGGTGGCTCTGTAGCCTTTTATTCCCCTCTTGCATTTTCAGGGAAATTTGCTGCCTCATCTTCACTTCTTGCATTGGTAGGAGGCTCAGGTCTCTTTTTCATTTGCAGGGGACCAGGCAGGGGACAGTCTGACCCTCAAACTGTCACAGGATAAATAAAGGATTTTATAATGTTGTATTGCTCCTATAGTGACTTCTATTGTATTTAGTACACAGGCAGGCCTGGGTTTAGTGTCAGTAAGGAAGGATCACACATCTGTAGTCCTCATTTTACTGGGGTTGCATGCAGTAGTAGGAGACAAAAAAGCTGAATAGGGACAATGTTTGGTTTTTACTTGTCAGTTACCAGCAGTGGACTCAATTCAGAATTATCCTTATTTCTATTTTAGTGCCCTCTGGAGGACAGGTTCATTACTACTACTTCATCACCCGTGACTGTTCATGTCAGCAAAATACATGCTCTTCCAGTAACACAGCATGAGTCTAAAGACCATTGCCTCTGCCTTCCAAACAAAGTATGAGAGTCTTCTTCTACACATATATCCTTTATCTTGCATGCTTTGCAGATTCTCAGACTGCTATTTCTACACCATCCTGCTGTAGAATTCCTGATTTTTTTAGGATGTGCAGAAATGGTTTATTTCTGTGATGCATTTATCCTTATAAAATAAATGTAAATTACATGAATGGTTGTTAGCTTTACAAGATTAAATGCCTTGAAAGCACAAAACAAATGGACTGTTTTTGGATCATTTTCAAGACCAGTGTCAAAAATGAAAACTATTCTTAAACTATTACATTTTATCTTAGTTTGTTTATGTGAGAGCCTACTAATTCCCTATACAGTTATCTGTTTCATGTTGAAGTCTGTGTTAGAAAGAGGGAAAATAGCATACTTTTCTGTGATCTGAAAACTCATTTTTTTATACAGGGTGAAGCAGGATTGCCAGGAGTAGCTGGTTTGCCAGGTCAGAAAGGCGATAAAGGAGAAAAGGTAAGATACCAATCACTTATGACATCTGCCAAGGCTTTACCTTTGTTTCTTCCTACTTTCCATGACAAGACAGATTATACAGCTTTTTTTAAAATCACTGAATACCTCTGTTTAAATATAATAATATAAATATAAAATAAAATATCTGTCTATATATTTTAGAAATGTCTGTCTGTCTATCTATGAGTCCATTTGTTTAAGAACTCCTAAACAATTAGAGCTAGGACCACCAAATTTGATATGTAGCTTCCTCTTATCCTTACTTAATACAAGGTCAGAGTTTGGTTGTGCCATGACAATGGGATGTTCCTGGAATTTGATTGTTTTTCATAAAATGGAAAGAGAGAGGTCTGACAGGAGGAGCAGTTCTATTGTGGAATGACCAGAGGGGAGCAGCAAGTGACCCAGTCAGAAGTCATTGGCCAGCAGTACCCAACATCCTAACCTGTCACAGGGAATAGCTGCCAGCTGCTATGTTCCCCGGCCCCGGGGGATACTGGTGAGCAGCCCGCATGGCCCTCTGCAGCCTCTGGGCCAGCACCGGGGAGTACTAGCAGGAGGCAAGCATGGCCTCCTCCGCCCCGGGTTGGGCACAAGGTGAATCTGGAAGACAGTGTATGCGGCCCCACCCTTGCACCAGGCCAGCCCCTTGTCATGCTGGCAGGAGGCCTGTGTGGCCCCCCTGCACTTCCAGGTTAGACCAAGGGCAAAGCCAGCAGCCAGAGTGCACAGCCCTGCCACTTCTCTGGCTGGACCTGACAATGCCAGGTAAGTCTATTAGTATTGTAATAAATCAGAATGGCACCCATCTTGTGTTCCCTCCATTTTCCTTGTGCTTTTCTGCTCTTCCCCACCACTATTCTGGACACTGCAGGGAGGGAAACAAGAGACCCAAAATGTGGTTTAGCCAGGCCACCACTTTAAATAACATTTGGAAATTGTCCAGCAATAAATCATCCAGCAAAGGTCATCCTTCCTTCATCATCCATACAAAGCCTCTCAGCAACGTGTCATGGTCCCTAGGTAAGATGCTTTTTCACTCCTCCTGTTGCCCCACTGCACCTTTTTCAATTGGCGGGCCTGTGCCTTCATCTTTCTTTGGGAAGGGATCTTTGATCCAACCACCTTGACTTTGTCTTTGGGTCACATTTCCCTGGTTACCAACAATGGGTTTTTTTTTTAGATGTTGCAAGAGGCTTGGCACCTGCAAGAGTTTCCCTCTGGGAGATTGTGAACAGTGATAGGATGCACTGACACAAACCACTTCTCCTAACAAAGGGTATGTCTAGACTGCAGGCTTCTTTTGAAAGAAGCTTTTTCAGAAGAGATTTCTGAAAAAACTTCTTCCGAAAGAGAGCATCCACACAGCAAAAGTGCTTTGAAAAAGCAATCTGCTTTTTCAAAAGATAATATCCACACTGAATGGATGCTGTCTCGCATTTAAGCTGTGATTACTATGGATGGAGTGGCCATCACGGCAACTGTGCTTTTTCCTGAAGGCCTCTTCTTTCCAAAAAAACTCCCTCTTCCACGTCCACACACACCTTTTTCCAAAAGAGCTCTTTCTGAAAAGCATTCCAAAAGAGCTCTTTCTGAAAAGGCATTCTTTCTCATAGAATGATGTTTACCAATGTCGGAAAAACCCCTGCATTCTTTCAGTTTACTTTCGGAAGAACGTGATGGCAGTGTGGACATAACTCAGGTTTTGTTGGAAAAACGGCCGTTTTTCTGAAGAAACCCTGCAATCTAGATGCACCCAAAGTGGGATTTTTTTTGCCAAAAGGCACACAGCACTCAGACATGGATTTAAAATAACAAAGCCCTGGATATACTTTTTTACTCCCTTCTTGACTCTCCCTTTAAGTCTGTAGGAAGACCTGACTTAATTCTGGTGCCATTCCATTTTCCCTAGGCACCAAGTTACAGTCTTCTTGCTGAGGAACCCTGATTTCAGTCAGTCTCTGTATCAGCCTTATGACATCCTGAGCATTTACATCTACTCTACCTGAGGGGCAGATCATTGAACAGATCAGTGTCTTTTGATCCTCAGGTTCTCAGCCTTGGGATATAGTTCTGTAAGGAGAGTTGGAGCTGAGTCATCTCTCTTTGTCTAAACATGGATATTGTGTTAGCAAGGATGTTCTTCATCTTGGCTATTCATCTTTCCTTCATTTTCAATGGTCCATATATAGATATTGCAATGAAGCACCCCTTTTGCAGGGACACCAAAGGAAGAGATGGTACTTTAAAAATAAAGTTTCTTAGTTTTCCACATAATTTTTCCTCTATCTAGGTCTATTTCTCCCTTTAAGCAGGGTTCTCCCAGCTTGGGCCTTTTCCCTCATATCAGATCTCTTGTTGCTGCCTGGGATGAATCCTACCATAGAACGGAGTGTCTGTGAAGATCTGCCAACTGCCAACTCCTTGTTGTGGCAGCATGCAGTTCTAGATAGGCTCGGCTTGACACTGTTTGGAAGTTCCTTGACCCCAGGAGTAAACTTGCCAGAGATCCTCTTACTAGGGGCTTTCTTTCTTTAGAAGCCCTCCACCCCTCAGAGCTGAGCCCTAGTAACTCTTTATATTGCTCATTAGTTTCCACCCAGCCATGTAGGGATTTGATTACTTCCAGGTGCATCGGAGTTGCTCCATTCTTCCTTATAGCAGCCTGTCACAGGTAGGCCAACTTCCTGGAATGTGTCTGTGTTATACTAGACAGTATATGCCCTAACCCCATTTCCTACATTCTTTAGGAGATGCCTTCCCTAATCCACTTCCTGTTCTGGACTCTCAAGGAGCCAGATGCCTTATTGAACAATTATCTTCCCTGGGCTTCTGCCACCAGGAGTCATCAGCAGTTTTCTTGGCTGCCTAACCTGCAACATTTGCAGATTCCAAGACTATCTATAGTTCCTTCTTGCATAGCTGCCAGAATCTAATCCTGTCCCCTCTGGAGAAATGTACCAGCTCTTCCTAAATAGCCTGGATATTAGATATGCAAATTCAAGATGAGCAATCACCAGTCTACCCTGTTCATGTAAATTAGATACTAGTGGATTTACCTAGCTCCTGGTCTCATCTGTACATAAGGCCAGACAGTTCCCCTTCCAGATCCTTCCCTGTGGCATCTCAGACCAGGTTATGGTTACCTGGGAAGAGTCCTGGTTCCACCCCTAATCTCAATTTGTCCTTATTTTTAACTCTATTATTTTATTAAATCCCTAGATGCACTCTGATCCATTCACTAGGCTGAACATCTTAGCTGGGTGACTGATCAGTCTTTGTTTATCCATTTCCAACTAGGTCCATCGCTCCCTTTAAGTAGTGTTCTCCCAGCTTGGGTCCTTACCCTCATAACTGGTCTCTTGCTGCTGCCTGGGGTGAATCCTTCCCCAGAGCTGAATGTCTATGAAAATCGGCCAACTGCATCTCCTCTTTGTGGCAGCATGCAGTTCCAGGTATGTTGGGCTTAACACTGTTTGGAAGCTACTTAACCCCAGGAACACGCCTGCCAGAGTTCCTCTCATTGGGGGCTTTCTTTCTTTAGGTGCCTTCCACCCCTCAGAACTGAGCTCTGGTAACTCTTTACTCATTAGTTTCCGGCCAGACATCTAGGGATTTGATTACTTCCAGGTGCATCTGAGTTGCCTCATTCTTCCTCATAGGAGCCTGTCACAGGTACGGTGAGTCCCTTGAAAGAGGTCACCCCTATTGCAACATGACACCATGTAGTTCCTCACCCTGAATTGGACATGAGTAAATTCTTCAAAACCTCCAGCAATATCCAAATATTTAAGGTCTAGCTCCTTTGCACCAGGACAAAATTGTTCAAGAACCAAAGTTCCAGAGGTCCAGCTGCACTTGAATACCCCTGCTCCTTGCTGGCTCCCAGTGCCAGCTCTCAAATTCTGCCTATGTCACGCCCTGAATGACTTAACAAACTGTTACCAACATGGACCACTGCCTGGTTTCTACTTTAGGCTCATTCCACTCATTCCTCACCTCATCCCTGCACCTAGCCACAGCCAGTAGTAAGGGAGCAAGAATTCCCATGCTGTGTATCTTTCACTCTTTTCTTTCAGATCCAATTAGCACTATTTGCCATAGTGGAGAACCGCAGCCCAATATTCCCCATTACATCAAATTAACTCTCAGGTCTGGCTCTGGCATCCACTTTTGAAAAAGAAACCCCGTTTCATTCACGACTCATCCAACGTTCAGTTGCCTCTCCATTTCTTAATTTGTCTATAGTAATAAATTGGGCCTGGCTGTGATTGAGGAGGCAGCTGTCGGCCAAGTGCAAGACGCCCATCCTATGGGCACCACCTGGGATATGAAATTAAAGATGTCCAAGCTTGTCATTCATGCAAAATAATCTTGGCTTAGGTACACCAGCCCTCCTAGCCAAGTTCCTCAACCCTGCCAGATTATTATCAGTGAGTAGAGATACCCGCATCCGTGTCTAACTCTGTCTCCAGGCAAGCCAGGCCAGTGTGTCTGTGTGTGTGTGGGGGGGAGGGGGGTTCTTTTCTTTTGCTGGCTGTACTCCTAATCCACCAATCACCCGAGAAGAGGCCAGCTGGCTTCTCTCCTCTCTCAAATCCACCTTCTTGCTGCAAATAACCATTTTTCCCTCAGCTGGCGCATCCTCTAATTCAGAAACCTGATCTGTATCCCACCATTCACTCTGACACTGTACCATACCTCTAGAGCCTGAGCACAACCAGGAACATATCTTGGGATGTGGCCCAATGAAAATAACTTGACCCTCAGAAACCCCAAGCAGAATAAACTCCCAGTGGGTAGTGGGCTTAGCTAGAAATCTGTTTAATGTGAACCTTACTCCTAAACTGCAAGCCCTCCACCAGTTTTCAGCAGAACAAAGGAGAAGTTAGAGATCATTATTCTAGGTTTTACCCATCATTCACTAACTTTCTCAGATGAAGGTAGTTTCTCAAGAGATACCTCCCAACAAAAGAGAGTCTGGCAGATCATCTATCCTG